AGTAGCACGTGCTGTCACACGTGTAGCTCATTAAGTGGGGATTATGGGAAAAATCATGCAGCTTAAGTAGGGTTATGTTTTGTGAGCTAAGTTTTTTTTCTGTAACTTCAGAGCTTGAAGCTCAAACCATTAATGGCGATTTGATCTAGAAATTTTACTTTATGTTCTTCAGTTTTCATTTTCACATTTAATTGTTGCAATACAAATTCTACATGGTATCTAGAGCGGGTTAAACACAAATGGAACAAGGGCGTGAGCTGGTTGGACGAGGAATGTATGCTCGCGATATAGATCCTCTCGCTTTACATGGATCCGACCATCCTGGGTTAATTCTTGTCACAAATCCACTGACCGGTGCAAATTATCTCCATTGGAGCAGAGCGATGAAACTTGCCTTGGGCGCAAAATCAAAGCTCGGCTTCATCAATGGAACGCTGCAAATCCCAGATCTGGGATCTGAGGAGCATGAACAATACCAGAAAGTGGAGTTTATGGTAATATCTTGGCTACTTAATACCATTTCAAAGGAAATAGTAGGAGCCTTCATGTATGTCAAAAATGCTAAACAGCTTTGGGATGAATTAGCAGAAAGGTATGGTGAATCCAACGGGCCTCTGAAATATAAGTTACAGAAAGAGATTGCAACTTTCTCTCAAGGCACAATGTCTGTTACAGATTATTACACAAAACTGAAGTGCTTGTGGGATGAGTTTGCTTGCCTTGTTTCAATCCCTGATTGCCAATGTGGGACTGAAAAGGCTTTCAATGATTTAGATATGGAAATTAAACTCATGCAATTCCTTATGGGATTAAATGAGGTCTTTGAACCTGTTAAGAACCAGATCTTGCTACTTGATCCTTTACCAACCATAAATAGAGCCTATTCCATGATTTTAAAGGTAGAAAAACAGAAGTGCTTGAATGCCAACATGAATCAGTTTGAGAATTCAGCAATGATGGTGAAAGGATATCCTGGAAGAGGAACAGGTAGAGGGCAAAATTTTGGGAGAGGAAATGCAGGAAGAAATTTCCAGGGATAGCAAACTAATAAAGGTAGAGGGGGGCCAAGGTTATCAAAAGAAGAGAGGGAAAAACTTTACTGCACTCATTGTGGATATAATGGGCATGAAATACAAGGTTGCTTTAAACTGAATGGATATCCAGACTGGTTTAAAGAGCTTAAGGAACAAAGGCAAAGCCAAAGTGTTAATATGGCAGAGAAGGATGACTCTTCCAAGGGAGATTCTGAGACTAGATCACAACAAAGTGACTCATTAGCTGACATTGGCTCACTCATTGAGAGGGAAGTGGCTAAGTACATGTCCAAGAAGCACAATTCAGAGTTACATACATACTCACACTTTGCAAAACTAGCTGAGGATGAAGAAGACTATGCTTTCTCTATGGCAAGCAAAGGTGTCAAAGGAAGCTGGGTCATTGACACAGGTGCAAGCAAACACATTTGCTGTGATGAAGACTTGATGTGCAGAAAAACAAAAGTAATGAATCCCATTCAGGTGAACCTACCAGATGGCTCTAAGATGAGAGTTACTCAAGTTGGAGAAGTACAGTTCAATAACCAAATTATGCTTAAGGATGTGCTGCTTATACCAGAATTTAAACACAATCTCTTGTCTGTGGGTCAACTTGTTGAGGAGAATGGCCTGTGCTTCAACTTCACAAATACAGGTTGCAAGTTGATGGATATGAGGGAGAACTTGGTTATTGCAGTTGGCAAAGCCATAGGAGGTCTATATGTCATAGAATCAGAAGGAATATACATCAATGCAGTGAATGGAGAGATACATGATAATGAGGAGTTGTCTCTCTGGCACAAAAGGCTTGGTCACAGCTCAGTTCATTGCTTGAAACATCTACCTTTTGTTAAGGGAAACTGCTCCAAAGAAGAATTGGGACTTTGTGATATCTGCCATAGATCTAAACAACCAAGGTTATCTTTTCCTCTTAGCTGCATTCAGACCAAAGAGAAGCTTCAATTGATTCATGTGGATGTATGGGGGCCACACAGTGAAGATTCTTTGCTCAATGTATCCTACATGCTGACCATAGTTGATGACTTTACCAGGGCTACATGGATATACCTTATGAAGTACAAGTCAGAAACAGTTAATCATCTCAAATCATTTCTGAAAATGGTAGAAGTGCAGTTTGATGTGAGGATAAAACAGATAAGGACTGATAATGGCACTGAGTTTGTTAATAAAGAAATGGAGAACTTGCTAAAGGACAATGGCATACTTCATCAGAGGACTTGTCCTTACACTCCACAACAGAATGGGGTTGTGGAGAGGAAGCATAGATCTATACTTGAAGTAGCAAGATCACTGTCCTTTCAAGCAAATCTGCCTAAATTCCTTTGGCCCTATAGCTTGATGGCAGCTGTGCAGATTATTAACACCCTACCTAGTGAAAAACTTGGGTGGAAATGTCATTATGAATTGCTACATGGTACTGCACCAACTTACAGGATGTTTAAAATATTTGGATGTTTGTGCTATGCAAAGAAAGTTGATCCACATAGAAGGAAATTTGATGAGAGGGCAGTGGCTTGTGCATTCCTGGGATATGTCTCAGGCACAAAGAGATATAGGGTCTACAATTTAGAGACCAAGGACATATTCATCACCAGAGATATTGTGTTCTATGAGGATAAATTTCCTTTCTCTAAGAAACCAGAGATTGAATCCACACAGCAACCTGAAATTCCTTTGCCTATTGCTCATAATGAAGAAAGTGAATATCTAGAGTCTCACACTGAGCCTAACACTGAGGAACACAATACCACAGAACCAGAAGAGATAACACAAAGAAAGGGAAATAGAGAAAGAAGGCCACCTTGCTGGATGAAAGACTATGTCACTGAATTGCCTGAGGAAGGTGATATTCACACCTTTTTTTCTGAGGTTAGTAACTCCATTTCAGAACCAATGTTTTATGAGCAAGCTGTCAAGGATCAAAGATGGGTGACAGCTATGGAAAAGGAGTTAGAAGCACTAGAAACAAATCAGACTTGGTGCCTTACTAAGCTACCAAAAGATAAGAAGGCAATTGGTTCTAAATGGGTATACAAAGTTAAAAGAAACCCTGATGGTAGCATTGATAAGTTCAAGGCTCGGTTGGTGGCAAAGGGCTATCTTCAAAGGGAGGGAATTGATTTCATGGATAGTTTTTCACCTGTGGCAAAACTTGTCTCAGTGAGATTGTTCATAGCTTTGGCTACACACAACAAATGGGAGCTGCATCACATTGATATTAATAATGCTTTTCTACATGGCTTTTTAGATGAGGAGGTTTATATGAGGCCACCAAAAGGATATACCAGAGCAAAACCTAATGAAGTTTGTTTACTGAAAAGGAGTCTCTATGGACTGAAACAAGCAAGCAGACAATGGAATATAGAGTTCTCAGACAAGCTCATTTCTTATGGTTTTCAGCAATCCTCTCATGATCATTGCCTGTTTTACAAATCTTCTAAACTTGGAATGCTTGCTTTGCTCATCTATGTGGATGATGTGTTGATAACAGGAGAGAGTTTGCAGGAGATTCAAAAACTTAAGAGTTATTTAGATGAACTCTTCACTATCAAAGATTTGGGGAAAGCCAAGTACTTTCTGGGATTGGAGATTTACAAGACCAATGAAGGGACTTACCTGAGTCAGAGGAAATATGTCATTGATTTGATACATGACATGGGTTTGGATAACTCCAAAGATACCACTACTCCATTGCCTGCAGGATTAATCTGTCCTCTATAGAATCTACCTTGTTTGACAAGCCAGAAACTTATAGAAGACTCATTGGCAGACTTCTCTACTTGAATCTATCTCGGGCAGACATTTCTTATGTTGTTCAACAGCTTAGCCAATTTGTTCAAGCACCCACACAGGCTCATTGGAATGCAGCTATACATTTGATCAAATATTTGAAAGGGAGTCCAACTCTTGGTCTTTATTATGCAGCACAATCTTCATCCACACTTGAGGCTTTCTGTGATGCTGACTGGGGCAGTTGTACATTGACTAGGAGATCATTGACTGGCTACTGCATTTTCTTGGGAAACTCCTTGATTTCTTGGAAAACTAAAAAGCAGAAGACTGTATCTCGCTCCTCTGCTGAAGCAGAATACAGGTCTATGGCCACCACGGTCTGTGAATTGCAATGGCTTTCTTTTTTAGGTAAGGACCTCAGTCTTTCCCTTCACACTCCTGTCTCCCTATGGTGTGATAATCGAGCAGCTTTACACATCACGGCAAATCCAGTCTTCCACGAGCGTACCAAGCACTTGGATATTGACTGTCATGTGGTTAGGAACAAGTTCAAGGAAGGTTTCATTTTACCAAAGCATATTTCCTCTTCTCTACAGCCGGCAGACTTGTTTACCAAGGCTCTTGGTGGTTCTGACTTTCGGCGGTTTATTGTCAAGCTGGGAATGCGTGTTAATGGTCACATTCCCGCTTGAGGGGGGGTGTTGGTTTGTTGAGATTGCAGCGTGAAGAAGTTTTTTTTGTATTTTTGCATGAACAACTCTGCAGTTTTATTTTGGTTATTAGTAAGCTCGTGTTTTACTTACAAAATCGTTTTTTGTAAGTCTTTTCTGTTTTCTTTTAAGGAGCACGTGTTATCACACGTGTAGCTCATTAAGTGGGGATTATGGGAAAAATCATGCAGCTTAAGTAGGGTTATGTTTTGTGAGCTAAGACTTTTTTTTTTCTGTAACTTTAGAGCTTGAAGCTCAAACGATTAATGGCGATTTGATCTAAAAATTTTTGCTTTCTGTTCTTCAGTTTTCATTTTCACATTTAATTGTTGCAATACAAATTCTACAATCCAAGACAGTTTGTCAACACAAAACCAAAAAATATGGTGCATAGAAATAAATCTCACAGGATCAGCCCACTTGGCAGATATGGCCTCGGAAATCTTCCTCTTCTGCTCAGCCGACTTGGGAGCCCGCCTGTTCCCCTTACTCTTTGGGTTGTTCATCTGCTCAAGCCACTCCTTCTCGAGCTCTTCATTCAAAATTTTGTAAGAGTCCCATTCCAGTTCCTCCTCTACTGAAAGGCCCCTTTTCGCAGCCAATGCAATTAAATTCTGCCATTCATGGTGGCAAGCCTCCTGCACCATCAGCTTCTCACGTCGCCTTTCCCAACCGAGACGAACGCCTACTCGAATTTTCTTCCTTGTTTCCTCACTGTAGGGATAAAAGAACAAAAAGATGACAATGAGTTTTTAAAATTCTTAGGGCGTGCTTGTATACAAATATATGCGTTCAGAGTTTTTTTGGTTAATCATAGTTATTTTTGAAAAAGTTGATATGGTTAGTTGTGAGCGAGATTTTGAGTGATTTGATGTAAAAGTAGGAGAGGGATAATGCAGAGTGATGGTTAGTTAAAGTTATGTGAGTAGATGAATGGTGAATTAAAATTGATGTGATGTATAAGAATGATTGTTTGATATTATTTAATTATACTGAACACAGTAGGGTTACAGTTGAGTTTGAGTATGAATTGGATAAATTTATAAACAAACACACCCTTAATGCACAGGATATTATTATTATTATTTTTATAAAAACGATAAGGAAGGAAAATGGGCAATCTTTTTTTAAGGAAGAACGGCACTTTGGAATTAAGGGTTTTTACCCAGCTACAATCCAGCCAACTTTGAAAATCTCAAACAAACTCTTAAATTCTGTTACAGTTTGCGTTTACTCTCTTCATAAGCAAAAAACATTTCAAATTTTAATTCGTAACCCTCTAATCTGAATACTACATCAGATTTTCAGAACTTTTTTTTTTTTTTTTAATTTTAAAAGTTACCTCTTGTTTATATGGAAGGATGAGAGAAAGATAGAAAAAAATATCAACGTAACTAGTCCAAATCTCAAGAACACTTGTTGTTATTACACCTTAAAATAAAAGTAGGCAAAAGAGTTACCCTACCTTTGAGCATGTCCCAGGTTCATTAGCTTCATCTTGACCTGTGTGGCAAAAGTTCATTGATGCCTCTTCAATTATGGAAAACATTTGATACAAAAGAGAGCTGATATGGATTGACTGAAATGAACAGATTGGAATTCACAGGTAACAGCTGAACTAGATGTCGAAAAAGAAGAATCATAGCTGAGGCAGTCCTTAGGTAAGTCCCCTCAAAGACATTCCTCAGTGGAATTTCAACTGAAACCACCAGTCAGTTCTTAGTTCTAAGGTGATCACCTTTTTTCCCATCTTATAGTTCAAATTAATTTTATTTTGGCAGCAGCAAGCAGAATAAGACAAGCTTACAAGCTTGCCCGGACTTTAAACGAAGTAATATAACCATGCCTCACATCTCAGTACCATGGTGCCAAATGATTGTTGGTATTTAGAAATAAATTGAGAAGAACAAGACAAGAAAGATCAGCCGATCCTCTATGATTCAAGAGAAATAATTAATCAAGGGATTTCAAGATATTATCCTAGTTTCTTTCATACGTCACCTTAGGATCTTGCATTGCCAGCCAGGTTCTCTCTTTGATTTTCTGCAATGTCTCTGCACATGTTTGAATGACACTTAAAAAATCACCAATCACCAATAAAAACATAAAAAAAAAAAAAAGAACACTCTAGGAATAAACTCTTGATTCTTCAAATATAAGAGCAATGCTGATTATTAGATTTACCTGGGCTATGTTTCCTTCCTTTGTTCCATGGTACATTTCCTTTGTTCGCTTTCGAAATCTTCTCCCGTCTCATCTTTTCCCTCTCATCCATCTCTGTTGAGCCATCGTTTGAAGATTCTGCCTTGGAATCAGAGGAAATTGACCTAACTGAATCCAAATCCATCCTCAAGGCATTTTGATACACTTTTACACCTCCATTGTCCCGAGGCACGCTTGTAATTTCGAGTGTAGCAACTGCCTCTATAGTCAATCTACCCCATGCCTTATTTCTCGCTACGGCATAATTCTTCCCCATTTTCTCTGTAATACATAAGGTTTTCCAGAAAAATGTGGACGCCAACGGCAATCTTCTCTCATTGCCGGTCGTATATTCTTTATAAAAACCAGTCTGGGACTTAAACGCTAATCTCTTGTTTATGAAACAAGAACACGGCTGTGAAATAGCAATATCTGGTAAAAGACAAGCACAATACTTCATAGCCCTTGGCTCAAATTTCAAAATCTCCAAAGCCTTTCTCCAGTTGGTCAAGCAAATAACAAAATTAAACAAATCGAAACATAAATTTCATGAACTAACCAATTGGCCAAGTAAATAACAGAACTAACCAAACAGCATTATACAGTTCCATCTAAATTTCATCCCAAAGTTCATGAAAACAAACAAGGCAGCAAGAACACAGAACCACCGAAACAACAACAACAACAACAACAACAAAAAATCACCAATTAAAATAACTCAAAAAACGAAACATATCAAATTAACTAAATTCTTGGCTCATTTTTTTCACCTGACAAAGGCATGGGGAGCTCATCAATTTCGAAGGGCAGCCGCAGCGCACACTTTTCAGATAAAAGCTTCGTTTGCTCGCAGAAATTCCATGAACTACTAAACAGCACAGTTCTGTTTCTACTACACTTGGAAAATCGACCAATTAACAGAAAATTAGGGTTTGAATTTGAACTCTGTCGATAACGAAGAGCAAAGGTGAGAGCCACACACCCAGTGTTCTTGCGCGGGTAACAGGCAATGGTGGATGGATAATGGTGGGATAATTTACAGTTGTTCTGTTTGTTTTTTTTTTTTTTATTTATTTATTATATATGTCACTGAGTTAACACTTTACTCCTCATACTTTACCGTATTAACAGTCTGTCCATCTTAACACACAGTAATATGAATCCAACCCCATCTTGATATATATATAAATCCATAGTTTTAAAACCCGGGAATCGACCCGAGCAGGGCTCTAGGTCATCGGGTTATCGGTTCAATCGTCAGGTTACCGGGGTCAATTGTTGAACCGGATAATTAATTTTAAAAAAATTTTAAATTATATATAGAGTATTTGTATATAAATATACGTAAAAGTAACAAAATTAAATGTTTTGTGCATAAGATTTGTACATTAATTTTTTTTTTAATTTTAATAATATGTATTTCATGATAAATTTTTACCATATAAATATAAATACATAGTTTTATTTGTTAAAAACAAAAAAATATTTTAAAAAATAAAAGCAAATAAAAAATATATAGGAGACGAGTCAACCGGGTATACCCAACTAGGTCAATGCCCCAGGTCAACTAGGTCAAGGCCGGGTTGACTGGGTTTTGACCGGGTTTGACCTGGCCCTTTGTTGTCCGATCCGATTAGTCCGCCCGAACCAGTTCCAACTCCGAGTCTCGGATCGACCCGTCGGGTCGGTCCGGGTTGAACAACTATGTCTAGATCTATGTAAATAATTATTAATTAATAGCTAAATTTTTTGTTTCCAACGAAACCGTTACTTCACTTATATGATACTCGTCTTTCAAGTAGTCATGTGTTTTCGAATATGTCAAAGTGACTTAAATCTCTTGTTTGAGACAAAATTTATATTCTATTTTCATCAATAAAAATCACGCAGTTCATGTCTTCATGTGTTCTCGAATGTCAAAGCATGTGAGATATCCTTTTTGAAAGAAAAAAAATGTTATATTCAATTTCTATCAACCAAAATCACGCTGTTTATATCTTCATTGCTCTCGAATTTTACAAAGTATGTGAGATCTCCTGTTAGAAATATATATATTTCATTTTCATAAACAAAATCATGTAGTTCCTCCCCTGTGATCGGTATCCTTTCCTGTGCCTTTTTGTCAAAGTGTTTGAGATTTCTTGTTTGAAAATATTATATTCCATTTTCATTAACCAAAATCAAGCAGTTCATATTTTCATGTGTTTTCGAATTTGTCAAAGCGTGTGAGATTTCCTTTTTGGAAAAGGTTACATCCCATTTTCATCAACCAAATTCACGCAGTTCATATCTTAGGTGTTCTCGAATTTGTCAAAGCGTATCAGATCACCTGTTAGAAATGTATATATAATTATATATTCTATTTTCATAAACCATAATCAGGCAACTCCTTTTCTATAACCAGTAACCTTTTATGGGCCTTTTTTTCCCAGAGATATGGGATTACCCCTTTTTATGGTTTCTATCATGTTTGAAATATAATAATGTTCAAGGTGAAATGGGAATATGAGATTATATTATAAGATACAATTTCAATAAATCATATGTTTTGATATTTTGTTCGAAATTTATAATTTATATAATACACATATCACACTTAAATTTGATACTTTGTAAAAATGAACCTCGACTATAATATTTTGTTTTTATTTTTGTATGTGCACAAAATAAATATAAACAATTTATTTTTATTTTGTTACAATGTTTTAAACCTGACGGAGTAAATGGCGTTGCTGGTCATGGAATTACTGATTCAATCCGGTGGCTCACTAGGTCAATTCTTAAATTGGATAATTGATTTTATAAATTTTAAAGCTATACACATATAACATTTTTATGATGTAACTACATATAAAATTAACAAATATAAATTATTTATATATAAATTCACAACAAGATTTTTTATAACATTGTATCTCGTGATAAATAATTGCAACATACATTAATTTTATTTTTAAAATAAAAAATACCTTAAAAAAACTTAAAACGATTAACATGATATATAAAGATATATACTTTTAACCCGTGGGCTTAATTTGTGGGCTTTCATAAAGTTGCACGAATAGGAAATTCTGAAACAGGAAGATAATCCACTTTTGTGGTCATATGAATCCCAATTGGGCTGCATATAGATTCGCAGTGGACTTTGTTGGCTTATATTATTTTTACATTTATATACTAAAATTCAAAATACCCATAAAATCCAATTAATGGATATATCACATAATATTAATTTACATTAATATGTATATTACACAAATAATATTTATTTATTAGAATATTTAATATATTTCATAAGAGAAATATACTAAATTTATCATAAACTATTTATATGCATCGATTTAAATTACAAGTTACGTTGTTGTGATGTGTCATCCTTTGTAGTGGTCCGGCCTAGAGCCAGGTGTCATATTTTCGCAGATCGTAAAATGAAATTGTGAGGTCGAGTTGATGATTTATAGCTCGGTTATCGGCTGCAACATTGACCTCGAGTTAACCTATATTGAATGTTAAATGAGTTTTGTATGATTGATCGACCTACTTCTTTTTTCTCAATTTCCTATCCTATACATAATGTAAACTATAATAGATTCTTCAATTTCAATAAGGGAAAACCCAATGTTAGGGCTAATTTCCTCATACCTAAAGAGCTATGAAGAAGTATGTAAATAGATTGGTATAAATATATTGGTTTTCATCAATAAATAACTCTTAACAACAATTGCAATATTTTAACTATTTTTCAATAATTATCTTAAAAAAATATCTCTAAACAATTTGCAGGGTAAAGAAATCACGAGTTGCAAGGTGGTTTTGGGACCATAAAAATATTGATTTGGTTGGCACAATTGTATTTTTAATCCTACTGGTTTAACGTCGTAACACTTTTAATTTCAAAATTTCAATTTTCTGTCTTTTCATCCTATAAAGTATTTTCTTGCATTTTCAGTTATTTGGTACTAAAATTGCAACGAAATTTAAAATTACAGGACTTAGATTGTTAATAAAAAATTCATCCAAAAGATTTCTTATTAACAATTTAAGTCCTGTAATTTTAATTTTTGATGCATTTTCAATCTCAAATGACTTGAAATTGCGTTGAATTTTAAAAATCATAGGACCAAATAACAGAAATATTCAACTCTTATGACTAAAAACGCCACTAGATCAAACCAACATAACTAAAATTGCAATTTTGCATATTTGGTTTCATCATGCATATTCAAATTCTCATGATTAGCCTCATAATTAACATTGATCTTGTTATGTATTGTCCCATGAGACACAAAATCAAGAGCATTGAGTGGAAGTTGATGATGAATTATGAAAAAAATTGTCTCGATAAATCATTTCGATTTCATCATTTTGTCAAAAAAAAAAAAAAAAAAAGGCTTGATAATTTTTAAGAATCCACATATTGTCACTTTACTTCACATGCCAACTGAAAAGTTAATTAAAATGATGTGACTTAAGACCTATTCAATATAAATGTAATACTCCCCTATCAACGGTTGACACATGTTAATATGTTCACCGTTTATGTGACATGCACCAAAATATGTTAAAAAAAACAAATCACCAATGTATGCATGCTACTTAAACAATGGGCATATTAACATGTGTCCATCGTGAGTAGGAGAACATTTCTCTCAATATAAATATTTTGTGACCTATTATGCCCCCATTTTATCTTGTCCATAATATATATTTACCTAATTACATTTTCTTGAAATATGGTGGGAAATTACTAATTAAATAATACGAAGTTATAAATAAAAGTCCACATTCTGGTCAACAAATTCAAATTTTGTGGAAATTAATATGATGCTTTAAGATAATACGAAGGCCCATAATGAGTATTCAATCATACTTTTTCAACATATATCATATTACATAGTATAGTGTAAAAAACATGACATTTTATTATACAACTATAGCTACACAAAATATATGATCCGCGATCTACTTTACGGCTAAATTAGATCAGACAATAATTTGTAATTTTTTTTTTTTGTATATATAATATTAAAATAAAATTTGAAGTGGTTCTAGACATCTTCATAATGAAATGTTGATTTTTTTGCACAATATCAAGTTGAAATAAAATGAAATTACGAATTATTCAATATATGTTGACTAACTTTTTTTTTTTTTTTT